GTGAAGACAGGCAGCGCCGTCAGTGCGCATGTGCATGTCTGGCCGCGGTGTGGTCTTTGGCTCCACCTGGCGGCCGGAATCCGCGCGGTGGGACAGGAGCCAGGGCGAGGCTGGCTGGGAGGAGGGGGAATGCCAGCAAGTTTAGGTGGGAGAGCTGGGGAAACTGAGGCCCAGAGAAGGAAGGAAGAAGCTGCCGTTTCCCGAGAACATAGCTACCGTGCGCCTGGTGTGTTACGTTTATTGTCTCATTAAATCCTCATATTTATGGAAACTTTTCATGAAAGGGAAACTGGCAATCAATGGAGTAAATGCCTTTAAACCTAGATTTCGGGATTAGCATTCCAGGATTCTTTTCTGCTTTGGGGTTCATGAAGTCCCCTTTGTGAGAGTGGTAAATTGAATAAGGTTCTACTAGGCCTCAACCCCTGTCCATTAAAATCCCCAGGTCCACCAACATAGCTACAACTTTGAGAGAAATCTAGGTCCCTCTATCAGGCAGAGTAAAGGCGCCAAACCATTTCTGGAGAGAGATCTGCTGTAGTCCGGGAGGACTCAAAACCCAAAGGAGTACCCAAGAGATGACCTCATTCCTTCCTTTCCCCACCCCAGGGGCAAGAAGGCCAGGGAGATGATAGATTGTGTGAAAATCAGCAGTTACAGAATCTTTCAATATTATCTCCTGTGTGAAAGAAAGAAGCTGCAGATGTAATACAGAAGAAGTTAATTAAAAGCCCCAAAATGCTGTATTTGCATTGGAAATATCAGTATGAATTCAAGAGATGTTTTATTTTTGGAAAGAAATGTATACTAGTATGTATGAATACATCATACACATATACACATGTATACATTAATATATATTCTGTATTTATAACATACCTAGAAAGGCCTAGAAACAATGACTAATCTAGTAGCAAAGAGCATATCTAACACTCATATTTTAGTCTTGAAATGCTATTTTCTATTTAAAAACATAAAGGGATCTCTCAGAGAAATTGCTGATTACAGATACTGTGTACAAGAGGAGCCTGGAATGTCTTGTCATACTTGATAACAAAGAAGCTATCAAAGACACTAGGGTCACATCAAAAGGACTTGGAAACCAACCTGAAGATGAGATAATTTCAGCTGCAACAAAGATCATTGCAATTGATTGAAACTCATCAAATATGTTTCAATCCCTGAGTTCATAAAACCAGCAAAAAAAGAGTTAATATTCAGCAAAAATACTAATTGATCACCTTCTGAGGATGGCATAGAAACAAATTATATTCTTAAAAACTAGGTAAATAACAGGAAAGAATCAATTACTCCACTTTAAAAAAAATGCCTTCATTGATTTCAGAGAGAGGAAGGGAGAGGGAGAGACAGAAACATCAATG